AGAGTTGACGTACATTAGAAAATGAAGAAGAATTATCTGCCTTGAGGAGGGATGTTTTTACTCAAAATAAACCTTGACAATGAGTATATGTGAGTTCATAGTGTATTTCAAACATTCTTGCACTTGAAATATTTTCAGAGCACTCAGTTTTAAATGACAGAGAACAATAGTATTATACGCTTGCATATAAGCTTGACTTTGTTCCATATTTGTCATAATAGAAAATAGCAAATACAATATTCACTTAACGTCCATAATTCAACCATGTTCTTTATTTGCTTTGGAATTTAGTAAGTAACGTGTCATACTGGTGTCAGGCCCTGGGGAAAACTGTGTTACAGAGAATGCTAATTCTGCCCCCAAAAAAAAACCAACCTCTGGAGTGTGACCTTGCCAAATGGAGATGGAGCCCCCTGATTTGGTGTAATTTTTCTGCTCTATTTTTTTTTTTTCCTTATTTTTCATTTCACAGATGAAAATTTCGTGCTTAGAAGGTTACTGTCTTAAATTAAGACTTCATATTTATTTTTTCTTATTTTATCATGTTCCACTCTACTTTTGTGGTATTTTCCCTAGATATATGGACCACCCAGTTGTTTTAAGCCAGCTGTCAAAATAGCATTCAGTGAGAGGACTGTACTCAGCTTTGCAGGATGTGTCTGAGCAAATGGTTAAGCTGAGAACCTGGATACGACAGATCCATGTCTTATAGCTAACACCACCTTAGCAAGCTCAATTAGCTTAGTTTTTATAAGTCTAACCTCTACACATGGGTTAATTCTGTTCTACCTGTAAGTGAAATGACTTGTGAAGAAATGTTTTATGTGAGCTAAGTAGTAAAAATTACAGCCCTTTTCTGTTTGAGTTAGACTGTCTGGCATTTAAATGATTTCTTAAAATGCTCTTTCTCCGCCTTTTAGCAAAGACCAGCTTTATCTGAACTTGTGGGCTCTGTCAGACACTGAAAAAGCCTCCATTCCCTTGCTAGCTTATAACCAAAAGGTGGAAAAAGATCCTTTGCCCAGAATAAGGGGTGGGCTTGTTTAGCACGGTTTTAAGTGCTTCACTAGTTGACATCTCTTATCGGTCAGAAATCTACTGTTTATAACTATCTCAGGGATGTCATACACAGCTGTCCACCCTGTTCAGTCACCAAGCATTCATAAAAAGCACCTCTCTATCAGTACACTTGAAAATGTTATTCGAGTGACATTTCTGGTCAGGAAATTTGAGGTCTTGACAGGACTTTGAAGTGACAGCCTTGTAGCTGTTCTCTGCTTGACCCCAAATCTGATTAAATTTTGCTATGTGTTCACTCTTATTCTCGAGGACTGTTTACTCCAACTGGGCTTTGTGTTCCTCCCAAATAACATCATTTTTTACTTTAGCTTGTTAAGGACTGAGTAGTTGTGAGACCTGTAGGAAAACTCGGGTATCATAGGAAGAAGAGTAGGAAAAAGCAGTGTGAACCAACTGATCAGATCCTGCAGAGGTGGGTCTCGCATGCTGACTTGCTTAATTTCTGGATCTAATGAGAAAACCACTGGGAAGGGTAGCTGCTCCTCTGCTCCACTGAAAGGTCTGGAGACAATAATAAAAGACCATCCTGCCCCTCAGGAAGAATGGAAATGTTTTACAGCAATAAAAGAAATCTATCTCAAATGAATTCAGGCTGGGGTATCAAGATATGGCTCCAAGTGGTAGTAACAGGCTTATCTATTGTGAAGGGAAAATGAACTATGTTGAAATGGGATTTTAGGCTGAATGAGAATCTAACCCTCAGTGTGGCCCTTGCTCCAAATCAAGCCTTACATGTTTATTTTTGTTTGCCTAAGTCATTGCACAACCAGGAAGTGGGAGGAAAAGTTGTTTGCTTTCATATCGAGGGAAGTTTATTCGTGAAAGATGCGAGTAAAATGCACCACTGCTTAAGGCTTCCAGATGGTGAGAACTCCACTGTTTGGAAACCTGCAGCTTTTGCCTCAAATATTTTAGGAAGGTTTATGTAGCTAGTATAGGGTTATTCTGTACTGAAATTAATGCCTACGGGCTTCTTTGTTTCAAGAGCCTCCCTTGCTACACAGGAGCCCTCAGTGTCTACTACTATAGTGTTGGGGTTTTTTTTTTGGGGGGGGGGGGGGGGGAGGGAAGCAGGGAGCTATCACCTTTAAAATCCATTAGAATCAGAATTACTCCCGAAGGGTAAGCTTTTGCCCAGCACTGTCTATAATACTCTGACTTAATTATGACTGTAATAGGTTCATCCCAGTCTAGAGTCATTCTCTCTCTCTCTCTCTTGAGCAGAGCTGATTTTCCTGGTAAGCCAGTTCAGTTTAGTAAACCAGCAGCTAACTAACCATGTCCCCCATTCCCCTCCTAATTGCTTTTAGATTATTAAGAAAAAGCATCTCACCACAGGATTACGTGAGAGATCGTAGCAGTACAAGGATGTAGGGAGGGGACACACAGCAATAAATTGGGAGGGAGTTGTAACAGCCCAGTGCTTTTTGGCTTAGGTCACAGTATAAAATGTCTGAGAGTTAAACCTCATCATCTTCTCTTTTCAGGGGACTCTCCACATAGCTTCTATTTTTTTGCTCTCATTAAACCTTGATATCCTTCATATGTGTTCTCTCATTTTTCACCCCACCTGTACTACTTACAGATGATGTTTCTTTCATCCTATCAGTTTGGGTGAAGCAACATATTTAATCAGACCTTTCTTGAAAATATTTTTGGCCACATGAAACAAAGCATCTGCATGTGTGATGACTTGTTGAGAACTGCTGTGGGAATTGTTTGTGTTGGTGGAACTGATGTGTTCCTAGGTGCGTAGCCTGAAAGGGGTTAAGTTTTTCCTTTCTTTGATGCTTTCTTTGCCGCCTGATTTTATCTAAATAAAACTTCTTTTGCACTTGCGTATTCATGTTGCACTTGGCACCATCCTACACAGTCTGTCCATAAAACCTCAGTGTCCCAGATTTAGCCAAGTTGTTGTTATTATTCAGGTATTTATTATTCTTATTAATATTGTCAATGAGAGTGAGCCAAGTGCCCACATTATTTATGCTTCATATTTTAAGTGGCTTTGATTATATTGTGTGTTTACACAAATGTATCTGAATGTGTTTCAGTATTTACTGATATGTTGTGCTGGCTAAATTGGAGGTGTTGGAATTTCAGACTCCTTTTGTGTCCTTCCCCCAGCCATTTTCCCAGAGCCTGAGAAACCTCTTCTTCTAAAGAAAAATGTTTACACAACTTTGCATCGGTCAGCAAGTACATGAAGTTTTGATTTTGAATGACTAGAGCACAGCCAGCAGCAGTGATTTTTGTGCTCTTGGAAGTGTTAACTCTTCGGTTTGTGTACAGCCATAGTAAGCATGGGGATGAGAACACGGGATATTTTTGCCTTTGCAGAGAATGGTTCAAAGCTTGAGTGCTGCCTCTCTGCCATTTGCAATCAGCAGCAGCCAGTGTGGAAGGGCTCCTTGTAGGAAGTGAAGTAGTTGTTGTGCTTGATAGAGGACTCTGTTCCAGGAGCATTCCTGTTTTGATTAATTCTCTACCCTTTGCCAGATCTTGTCTGTAGGTCTTTTTCTCTGCTGAGTTTTTAAGAAGGCTGCAAAGAAGTGCAGGGCTTAGAGAAACACAGTGTTGCAGTTCACATGCTATGTGCCAGAAATATCTGTTTCATTCCTGCCTGTTATTCCCAGTTTCCCTGGTTGGGAGGCCGAACTTCCAGTGTTAGTTTTAACATTTAAAGGAAACAGTTGGTCAAAATGTAAACTCTTAAATACAGTAGTTGGTGCGGCTACATGATTTGTGATGTTCCTTTTAGATTCCAGGGGAAAAATCCCCTTAACATAGGGGTGCATGATGTTGAAAATTAAAAAATAGTAGAAGACGTCCTGGGAATATTGGCTTTTTCAGTTTAGGGCGTTTTGATGAAGGTCTCAACTTTTCATGTGTAATTTAATAGTAATTGGAAGTGTTTTGCCTTGAGTTTGTTTTTTTACATTACTCCTGCTGCAAAACAACTCTGTATATCAAGCTGATACTAGTAGGACCCACGGGGAAGCAGTATGTCTGCCTGTACTGTGCCCATGTCTTGAGACTCACCAACATTAGCACAATATGCATCAGGAGGGTATAAACTTCTCTGTTTCCAGAAGCTTTTCCTTCAGTTTTGCTTCCCACCAAAATTAAGTCAGCAGCATAGGACTGCTTTTGTGAATCTTGAGGCGCCAAGGATGTCAAACATGAACCTTCATCTGTAAAAAGGCTTGAATTCAGTAAAACTTCTTTGGTTTGTTCTGTAATTACATCTTTGGTAATTGATACTGTTAGGTGTGTCCTGCCATAGTGTGGTTGGTAATCTCTGCAATTTCCCGCTGTTCAAACAAGCAGGTGCTGGACGTGAAAAAAAAACCTGAAAGCTTAAAAAAAATACACCTCTTAGCATAGTCTTACAAATATCCAGTAGCTTTGATTTCTCTAGTGGGTTTTTCCACCTCTGCACAGAAGGAAGATGCGCTCTGTAAAGGACACTGCAGAAGCAGAACTTGATTTGGTTTAATTTAGGAGCTGAATCACCTTTTAGAGGAACTAGATTTTGTCCACTTTAAGGGGGAAATCGCAATTAACTAGAATGATTAGAGCAAAGTCAGTAACTTTTAATGTTTTATTTTTTAATTTCCCAAGCCCAGGCATTTTGTGGGGATATAGTACATCACTAGTGACATTTGTTAGTTTAGAAGTTGGGTGGGACTAGATGCACATAAGGTATATGGCATGGGTTAATGAGACAGCAGCCTGTCTAAAAGCATGACTACAAAAACTTTTTGATGTGCCTTCTCACTTTCAGAGCTATTATCTACTTGGGAGGCAGTGGAGGGATGCCAAAAGATCTAAGGACAGAGAGGGGAAAACTTGCCAGTACTTGGTTTGTGAATGAAAGAGAAAGGAGGTCTTATTTAAAAAAAAAAAGTGACATGTAAATGCTCTCTTCCAGTTTTCACCTGGCAGCCATGAAGGGGCATGCCGAGTGCCTCAGGATCATGGTGACACATGGTGCAGATGTGACAGCCCAAGATGGTGCAGGTATGCCGCCATGAACCTACACATGTAGCATAATACACTCAGTTTGCCTATATATTTCTTACTGTGCAGAATGCAACTACAGATTTGACAACACTGCTTTTCCCCACACACTATGGAGGAAAAGCAGCTGTAACACTTGCAGGTTTAGGCATTTTTGCTTTTCTGCATGTAGCATTCAAATTCTAAAGCCCTTAAAAACTTTAGCCCTAGTACTATAAATGTTAACATTATAGTGGACTCTAGGTGCAAAATAGTTCCTTAATTTTTATTTATTTTTAAATTTAAAAAAAAAAAATCCCTCTATCCCAGCTCTTTTTGTTAACTTCATTTGAGGCTTTTTATAGGTTAAATCAAGATCTTCCTTGTTGCTTTTATGTGTATCTAAGCTATTAACCCTATTAACTGTACAGAAGTTGCATTAAGACATTTCCTCTGGATTATGACATATGAAAAGACCTGATACAGGCCAAAACCAAACTGAGAGCTATTAAGTATGCGCTTTCAGCCCTCAGAAGTCTAATGACTTAAGGACTTCAGTAGGAGAATGATGGCAGCTGAATTTGAAACTGGCAAACTCTCAATAGATTTCAGTTGACCTGTCTGTGGAATCTGTGCTATAGCAAGTCACCTGAGTGAGCTGTCAGCTTTTCTGTCTCTTCGGTAATGATGTGTACATGTTGGGCTCATGGGTTCTGTTTTAGCCACCAGTAGCAGCCTCAGGGAATTTCTGTCATGCATGGAAATGATTTGCCTCTATAAGGAAGTGTCTGCGATACTAGAAGCAGCATTCAGATTGTATGTAATGATAAGAGAATATATGTACCTGATACAGGCTATTATTCAGAATTCATAACTCATTTTGCCTCAGGATTTATTAGTTGCTTGGATGATAAGAGGTTTCCAGCTCTCACCTGAGAGCGTCAACCCAGTATTCATTAAGGAAAGCCTTGTCTGTAATAGTCACTTTATTTACAGTGAGATTCTACTCACAAGTGGCTCTTTATAGAGTACTAAATCTTAGCTCCTTCTGTTCTCAGATACATGGATAATTTTTTCTTTTGCTGTCTTGGCCTCTTTAATTTTTCAGATGCTCTGTGAGATGAAACTAGAGGAGAGACTGCAGTCTTTCATCATAAATCCATAGTCAGTAAATCACTGTATTCCATAGCTAAATATGAGCTCACAGATGGTAAATAAACTAACAGAAAAGGCAATCTATGAGATGCAAACTGAAGTAGGCCTGTGTTCTGAGTCCTGTTCTATGTGCATTCCACAGATGATACAAATTAATTGTAGTGGTAGCTAGTGAATTTGACTGGTTTTGCTCTGGCTTCATTGCCAAATGTAAGAAATCATCAAGACACTTAACAGACGTTTCTCTGCAAGGGAGCCTGAATAATACAGGAAAACTGTTTTTTAAGAAACAAAACATAACTGTGCAACCTTGGACTTACTTCTGCCAAGGTATAGTCTGATGCAATGCTTATGTCATTTCTTTATATGAAGCTAGACATTAAGACTATTCTGTTACCTGCTTGAACAACAGTCTGTGGTAAATACGTTCTGATTAATCTGGGGTTTTATTTTATTTTCTCTATCTTTACTTTTCATGTGGCATGGAAGGAACAAGATGGATAGTTTAAAGTTTTGCCTTCATCATGGAAGAGTTTATTCCTGTGCTTTGATATGATTGAATACTTAATTTGCTTTGCTTTTATTCATTTAGGGCACAGCGCTTTACATCTTGCAGCAAAGAACAGCCACCCTGATTGCATTAAGAGGTTACTTCAGGTAAAGTAAAAATTGAATTAATGCTTATTTTTGAAATTTTCCTTTTGTTCCTCTAGATTGATTCCATTAGATACTGACACATTTGCTGCTAATAATCTGCATCACACTCCTATACTGTTGTCCTTTCTACTTGCAAGCAAGAGAGGTGCTTGAGTTTAAAGATCTTTTAGGCACTGCAAATGGATGATAGAAAACAGTGTGTTATCTTCCCTGAGTGGTCCACAAATACAGTTTCCCATGTGCAGCTGATCTGACATAGCAGAGTTGGGTTTCAAGCAAGTTGTAGCTTCTGTCTAACTTCCTGTGTTTTGTCTGTGTTGTTGGGTGGCTTGGGAGTAGATGGGTTAAGAGGTATGGGGAAAAGGATTTTTTCAGTTCTGGGGGAATTTTGATACTTTTCCACTGGAATGCTTTCTGTCTGCTGTTGGCTGTAGAAATGTTTATCAAGTATAAAGTTAAAGGGAAAAGAAACCAAAGTAGTTTAGATGCTAAAACGTGAAAACACTGAATCCTCAGTGAAATGAGGCAAAGGAATGAGGGGTTAGAAAGGGAGTGGAAAGAAAAGAAAAAAAAAAAACAACAAACAAAAGTGAGGATGAAGTGAAGATTCTCATGGTGTTGAGGCTGAACATGTGTGTTAGTAAGCAAGGAGAGGCACCGTCCATCTCAGCTTCATTTCAGAAAGCCAGGTCAGTTTTGGTGGAGGTGAGATTTTTAGGAGTTTGGAGTTATCAGTATGTGGCTCAGACTACAAATGAAATAATGAATAATAACCCTGCATAAATGCAGTGATACAGAAGGAGAATGGATCCTATATCCCAGTCTCTAAATTGCCTTTTCCTGGTTACCTCAAGGCTCTCCAATTGTCCTGTGGCTGACTTCGGTCAATGTCTCTGACAATACTGGGTCCAGTTTCACCAATTCCCACCTCCATACTCGTGGCAAACTGAGTCCCCTGTTCCTCCACACCTGGAAAGGGTTGTCATTAACCACTGAGGCTCCCCTTTTCCATATTTCATTGCAAGTATCTACTTCTAACAAACACATTTACAGCATGAACAGTGACATCAAGCTGTCACTGATGGTATCACATGCAACAGCATGATCAACTCTGCAACTACATGGGTGTTTAATAACAAATATCTGCTGCCCATTCACTTACCAACTTAGAACCACAGAGTGCTTTTTTGATATTTTGCTAATTTTATTACAATATGCGTATCTGTAAATATGTTCGTAAGTGCAAACCCATTAGTAATATTCTCCAATAATTCATGCTCTTTGGATTGCTTTCTTGCTTCTGTGGACCAGATTGATGATATAAACTGTATGCCTGAGGAATGTGTAATCTTGACATGCTGGAGTTGAATTAAAACAGGCTGAATAATTATTTCACACAGGCAGGATCTTGAAATTTTTGTTACAGAATGTGGTATTATATGCGAACCTGTTTTTCCTAGAAAATCCTAAAAGTGTTGGAGGCAGTGCTACATTTAAAAGTCAGGAGCTCTAACTTTTGTATTTTAGAAGCCCATTATTTTAGTCATATTTTCTTGAGTCCAGAGAAGACCACAAAGCTGGTGAAGGGTGTAGAGCACAAGTATTATGAGGAGCAGCTGAGGGAGCTGGGATTGTTAAGCCTGGAGAAAAGGAAGCTGAGGGGAGACCTTATAGATCTTTACAACTGTGTGAAAGGAGGGTGCAGCAAGGTGGGGGTTGGTCTGTTCAACCAAGTAACAAGTGAGGATATGGCCTCAAGTTGCACCAGGGGAAATTTAGATTGGATATTGGGAAAAATTTCTTCACTGAAAGTGTTGTCAAGCATTGGAACAGGCTGCCCAGGGAAGTGGTGGAGTCACCATCCCTGGAGGTATTTAAAAGACATGTGGATGTGGTGCTTAGGGATGTGGCTTAGTGATGGACTTGGCAGTGTTAGGTTTATGGTCAGACTTGATGATCTTAAAAGGTCTTTTCCAAAGTAAATGATTCTATGATTCTGTAATTGTCTTTCTTTGCTGTAAACTAAAACTAAAATCTTCTGTACCAAAACAAATCTTGATAAAGTTTTGAATTATTTTTTATTATTATTTATTACTTTGAGGTCTAGGTTGATCAGTAGTAGCTGGTGGCTTATAATGCCACAAAATAGATTAATAGAATCATTTTTGATATAAAAGAGTATAGATTTTGATATATGAAAGAAACAGAGTTTTGATATACGAGAATATAATTGGTTTGTTGATGCTTGAAGCAAGGCAGTAAGGCTTCATGCAAATGAAGCCTTACTGCCTTGGATAGAAATAATGCAAGACTAATTACCTTAGGATGTGGTTGCTTTATCTTTTACTGTAATATATATTAAAAAAAAAAAAAAAGCTTTTCTGAGGCAAGGGAGAGAGTTTCTTTCCGTTTTTATTTCCCGATTTAAATTGGTCCAAAAGATAACATTTTTTAGGGATATCTCTCTCACCATGTACATTTCCTATGGCTTCAGTATAAGCTGGTACCAAGAAAGGAGAGACTAGTTTGATAGAGAGGAAAGCTGTGCCTTTCTTCAATGTTCTTTTCTGGAGTAGCTCATAAAACTTTTCTGAAAGATGTTCAGTGCTCTGTGCTTAGCCTCAAATATGTTTTATTTTCTTGGTGTTTCTCTAATTGTTTTTTTGTTTTGTTTTGTTTTTTTCCCTTCTCCTTATTGAACTGTGCAGAGTAAATGTCCAACAGAGAGCACTGACAATTCTGGGAAAACAGCTTTACATTATGCAGGTAACTTCATCGTTACAAGCTTGTACTGTCTAATTTTTTGTGCTTGATATTCCTAGCTCTTCAGACTGGTGGAGATTTTTAGGTTCTAATTACATACTAACTTCATATTTGCAAGTGCAGAGCCATTGGGATACTTAAGATTAAGTTGATTTTGATTTCAGTCTTTAAAGATTGTATCTTCTCGTGCTAATTTGGACCATGAATATCTGTTGTATTTCTGCACACAACTTGATGTTCTTAATTTTAGCCTTCTTCCCCTTCCTTCTTAAAACATAAATACAGTTTAATTTGTTAATTAATAATAATGCTGGAGTATTGCATTTGTTAATTAATTTGTTAATTAATAATAATGCTGGAGTATTGCAAGTGGAAGTGTGGAACGCAGATTTGAAAATGAGGTTTAATGGACTTTCATACTCATTTTTTTTTTTTCCTTTTTTTTAGCTGCATGTGGTTGTCTTCAGGCAGTTCAGCTTCTGTGTGAATGCAAATGCCCAGTTAACGTCAAAGATTTGGTACGTACCTCTTCTCCCATTGTATACCTGGGACACTTCAGAGCTTTTACCACCCACCATTCCAGTCAGTCTCAAGTGCAGCAGTTCAAAGCAATACTGTGTGTTTATTTCTGCTTGGATTTCTCTGGTAGGGGAAGTTCCTTTTGCAGCCTGCCATAGCAGAGGTGGGGAAGTACTTCACAATCTAATATAGTAGTGGCAGGATTTGCTACTGGTTGAATTGAGGCATTGGTACAAGTCGCTAGAATAAATTCTGATATATTCAAAACATGATTAAAAATCTTTCCATTGGCTCCAGTAGGCTTTGGAAAAGGCCCATTATATGGCCAACTGCTGTGAAATGCCCACAAAGTTCAACCAGAGCTTTACAAGCCTGAGGGGAAAAAATATACTTGATGTAGTCTGAAGGCTCAGGGACACTGCTTTACTATGATGAAATGTCTACAAACAACTGGATTGATTTTTGGGAATGATGCAGGTGCCTGATAGAAAACCCTCTGATAATAACAGGAGTGGACCTGACAGAAGTGAGGCACAAAAGATGGCGGGGTGGGGGGGAAGAAGGCATAAAAATATTTAAACTTTTGTGTTTGTCTGTTTTTGGTTTGGATCTATCTCCTTATGTGGTCTTTCTAATAAAAAAATCTGTCACAGAGATTAGACCTAAAATTTCAGCAGATGCGTTTCAAAGATAGAAAAGGTTTGTTCAGTCTTGAGAAGGCAGTAGGTGTCTAGGTCTCTGTAGGTGTCTAGGTCTCTGTGCTGCCATTCAGCAAGACCTGGACAGGCTGGAGAGCTGGGCAGAGAAAAACTTAATGAAATATAATAAGGGCAAGTGTAGGGTGTTACATCTGGGCAAGAACAATCCCAGGTTCCAGTGTAGGTTGGGTAATGATCTACTAGAGAGCAGTGTAGGGGAAATGGACCTGGGAGACCTGGTGGACAGCAGGATGACCATGAGCCAGCACTGTGCCCTTGTGGCCAGGAAGGCCAATGGCATCCTGGGGTGCATTAGAAGAGGTGTGGTTAGTAGGTCAAGAGAGGTTCTCCTCCCCCTCTACTCTGCCCTGGTGAGGCCGCATCTGGAATATTGTGTCCAGTTCTGGGCCCCACAGTTCAAGAAGGACAGGGAACTGCTTGAGAGGGTCCGGTGCAGAGCTACCAAGATGATGACGGGAGTGGAGCATCTCCCTGATGAGGAAAGGCTGAGGGAGCTGGGTCTCTTTAGCTTGGAGAAGAGGAGGCTGAGGGGAGACCTAATTAATGTTTACAACTATGTTAAGGGCGAATGTCAGGAGGATGGAGCCAGGCTCTTCTCAGTGATGCCCAATGGTAGGACAAGGGGCAATGGGTGTGAGCTGGAACACAGGAGGTTCCGCTTAAACTTGAGAAGAAACTTCTTTACAGTGAGGGTGACAGAGCCCTGGAACAGGCTGCCCAGGGAGGTTGTGGAGTCTCCTTCTCTGGAGACATTCAAGACCCGCCTGGATGCCTTCCTGTGTGATCTCATTTAGGTTCCTGCTCCAGCAGGGGGATGGGACTGGATGATCTCCAGAGGTCCCTTCCAATCCCTGACATTCTGTGATTCTGTAGGAGTATCTTAAAAAAAAGTCCTTATCTACATCATAGTTTATCATAGGGAAGATGGAGCCAGACCAGCCTCAGAGGGGCATGACAAAATGATGAGAAGCAGTGGTCAGAATTTGGGCGGTGGACCTAATGAGGAAATTCCAGTAAGGTACTAGGGAAAAAAAAGTACCCAGAGGTGTCATGGTGTCTCTGCCTTTGGAGATACTCAAAAAGTGACTGGGCAAGTCTCTGAGCAACGTACTGTAACTTGCAGTTTGCATAGCTTTGGATTGAGAGCAAAGGGGCAGAAACTCCAGATGACCTCTGAAGGTATCTTCCAACTAAGTTATTCTGTGATTATATGAAATGTTGTATTTTTGTCTTGTGCTCAGTTAAAATTGTCATTTTTGTTGCGGAGCTGCTTGAAAGTATTGAGTAGTTCCAAAATTGTCATGTTACAGCATTAAGTGAACAGCAAAGTGAGTACAGATGGCAAAAAGCAGGCCTACTCCTAGTGCTTTGCATCCCCAGTGGTCAAGAAAGGAATTGAAGTAAACCCAGCTATGTTTACGGTACATGAGAGAAATGTACTGATAGTGTCTCATTTGTGTTACATAGAAATAAAATTCATAGCTGACCTTTAAATCTCAGAGTGATATTTGTAAGTGGATGATTATTGTTCATCGTTTCTTTAAATGCATTCGTAGGATGGGAACATACCTCTGCTGCTTGCAGTGCAAAATGGTCATACAGAAGTCTGCAAGTACCTTCTGGATCATGGAGCAGACATCAACACCAGGGATAAAAATGGAAGGTACAGCAGGTTAACATGTTAATTCTTCCCCAAGGCTGGCTGTCAAAGGAAGCTTTCTTCTCAAATCCTTCCCAAAATAGTTGTTGTTAGGTGAAATAATGCCTTCTGTACTAGACAGCATATCCTGATTGTTGAGAAGGCTTGCAGAATTCTGCCTAAAGGGAAAGGTGAAACAGAAACTATGCAACTATAAAACTAGATGTGCCTGTAAGATTTACCTTAGGCTACTAGAGCAGTAAATCCCATTTTGAAACAATTCCTACAAGAATCTGATGGATAGAACTTAGCCACACATCACTTTGTACATGTCCCAGTTTTAAATGCTGCTCTCTTCTTGGACTGAGTTAGTTTCTCCACTTATATCCTAAAGCTATTGCATGGGAGCAACATCTGTGGAGGATTCTTTTTTTCTACCATAGTGTAGCCTTATCAGCAAGAGAAAAATACAGTAAAGCTGTATGGTGGAGGTGCTGTCATCTTAGAAGGTGCCATTTGGAGATTTATTGCATTAATACATAGTGTTTCTGTCAGAGGACAGTTTTTAAAAAGTACCATCACTTGTTTTGATGATACTGATGAAGATCAAGAGTTTTTTAAAATTATGGACTGTTTTATAAACAGTTGGTTAACCTGTGAAGGTAAAGCAGGATGCTGAGAAGGCTTGGCACTTAAACTTGATAGCAATCCTGATTATTGTATGTGATACAATACTCATACTGTTCTTTGGCAGCACCTAGGATGATAAGACTGGGCCCTAACTTGTTTTTTATTAGTTCAAAGTTTATTAGCGCACTCTTTGTCTTAAGTTATTTAAAGAAAACCCCTCTGTCATCCTCTTTGATTTGAATGGCCTTATTGGCTCTTTGAAACTGAGATGGTGCCCACTCTGAGACCTCAGCCTTCCCCTCATTCTCATACTGTTTAATCAACAGACGGTGTTAAGTGTTGCTAGTTTAACTGGATTGAAGCATTTCTGTAATAGATAGGACAGACTTCCATTTTTGTGTTTTCTTTTTTAAGAAAGTAGTCTGTGTAGAAACAAAATTATATAACATGAGATATACCATTTTACTTGTCACTTTCCTTCTGGCAAGGAGAGTGACTACTCTTGCATTTTGTGTTCACAAAAGTGGTTAAGTTTTTACTGAAAAAGGAGAAACCTTATTGGGAGAGGAAGGGGATAACCTTTGAAAATGGCATTTCTAATTTCCTGTCTCGTCCAGACTAAGTGAATAATTTTGGTAGTCTAAAATCATCTCTGTGACTCTGGAGGTGTTATCCAAGTTGCCACTCAGCACTACTTTTTAGCACAGCACTGCAACAGCCGTCACTTCTCCAGGGCTCACCCATTACAGAGAGTATGTTTAATTAATCAGTGAAATTATTTTCTTAATATTTAGTAAATATTATCCCTGTAGTAACTTTTCAGTTTTCATATCTGCACTGAGGAATGTGTTTGCTAGTGAACTTGGCCAGCCTCTTAGGCATGGTTTCACGTTGAGAAGGGAAAATTATACCCAAGCAGTAAAGCAGTTCTAGAGCAAGCTTGAAAGGTGGAGTTTTCTGTATGTTTGTGATTATTCTGTACATCTGTTATGACCCCTTCAAGTTATTGAGAAAAACAGATACAACCTGTTAGGAAAACACTCCTTCTGAATAATACTCTTACTCTTGGATCTGGCACTGTCTAGCTGCCCTGTGTTGGAAAAGGAATTGATTGTGACTTAATGACTGAGAGTAGATCAGCATTTGAGGTCAAACCCATCCCTCAGTCTCACTGAAGAGCTTTGAGATTTGTTTGGCTTTTTGGTTGAAATCTGTTTGTCTATTTTGTCTTAAAAGCAACATGTGAAGGATAGCGGCGATGAAATAAATGCTTTAATGTTTTACCACTGCTTGCAGAGCTGTAATTGGAGTTTGACAGTGAGATATTATAGTCTGATTTTGTCCTGGAGCCCTTTCTATCTATGACTTGCCTCTTAGCCTCAGGAACCCATTTAGAAATGTTTGGAGACCTGTGCAAAGCATGCCATGCCAGGTCTTTGGAGAAGGTCCAGCTGGGGAGTGTTGGGAAGACGATGAGGGGCAGGTAGGGTTTGTAAGGAGAAACAACAGTTACATGTATGTGTCAATAGACATACTGATAAAATCTGGGACTTTATTGCACAATAACTGTCACACTTTTTTCCTGAAAAAATGAGCTGCTGCTTAGAGAGTACACTTTTGACACTTACTCCGTGTGTGTTTTGTTTTGTCCAGAACTGCTTTGATGATGGCTTGTGAAGCTGGTAACTTTAACATAGTGGAAGCCTTCCTTAGGAAAGGTGCAGATGTCAGTTTAGTAGATGTCTTTGGACAGAATGCCCTGCATTACTCCAAGCTCTCTGAGAATACAGGGATCCAGAATCTCCTGTCATCAAAGTTATCTCAGGATGTGGGTACGTAAGAGATGCCGATTTGCAGATTGTTGCTTCTTGAACTGGCTACGTGTATGTTTAGCAATGAACAAATTTACTTTATAAGGTAACCTGAAAAATTTAAAAAGTCATCTTCAAGATGGTGTGGCTGAGGCTTCCCAAAAGCAGGAAAATGCAGTCTTTGCATAGATGGTGATATTTAGCATGAGATAAAGCACTGAGCGAGGCAAAAAGACGTGTTTCGGAGAAAGAAAAGGTAAACTGATGTAGCAGCTTCATGAAGTCTTGCATACAATTTGGAATAGATCCTTTTTTATTATGTGAAAGAGTAAGTAAGTGGAATGTATATCTCCTCAGTGGAGGGGTTGAAGAAGGAACTAATGCAGGCAGAGGGGTTTATGGCCAAACTAAGACAAATTTCTAAAGTAGAAAACTAAAGTGCAAGAATGGTGTGAGACTATAGTAGAATAAGGATTGCCACGGTCCTTCAGATTTTATCTCTATATGAAACCGAAAAAGCAGCAGAGAAAGGATATCATTCAAATGGAATTTGGGAATTAAAGTATATTTTTCAGATTTGAGACAGGGATTCAAAAACCAAAGTGTTTATGATGTGGGAAGTGGAGCTGAGAGATGGATTAGAAATGGTAAGTAACTTTTCCTGTGATAGCTGTTCTTAATTCCACTTCTTTTCTGCTTCACAGATACAAAGTCACCAGCAAAAGCAAAGCAGGTATTTGTCCTTTTGGTTTTAAAAACACTTGGGCTATATAGGCTTGTAACTTCAGAAAAAACAGTAATTGACATGACTAGAAGCACTGGTAAATGTCACTGTGAGGTGCACTGCCATTGACTACTCTCTAATGTGAAAGATTTTTGTTGCTTATTTAAGAAATGTGTTTCAGAAACATCGCTTTTAGATTTAGCTTCTGTCTGTAGCAGCAGTCAGCACCCTCAGTGAGAAAAGGAAGGGAAGGCGTGTGTGTATGTGCACATGTGTGCCAGGAAGATACGCCACTTTTCTCATGTGTAATACAGGAGCTTGGCTTTTGGATTCCCTATCTTTTTAAACTGTAGAGAAGATGATCTAGAAAAGTTCCCTGTTTCCAAAACATATAATTGAAGGTAATCCCTGGTTCCATTGTACTAGAGACCCCAACCTGTGAGAATTCTATCAGATTTAGGCAATTAAATTAGTTTCTTAGGTTTTTTATTTAGTATCATATCTGGGAGTGCAAGGAGACTTTGTAGAGCTGCTGGTGGCTGGAGAGTGGACAAGGGTGCAAAGCAATGCACTGGTTCATTCCTTCTCTGAGTGGGTTTTTCTGGGAGCTAAGGCAGAAGTTGGTGGAGAGGAGAGGCAATAGCCATTAAGAATGTAATGACTGGACTATGTATGAATGGGAGTATTTAAGACCACTAGTGCTAAACCTGTTGTCAGCTTTTGCTTTTTCACTAAATCTTGTTTGTTTTCACTGAAGCATGGATTATAAAGGGGCAGATTCTTATTGTCAGGCATGTTTAATAACTTTGTGTTAATAGAGATGTAATCTTTACATAGAAAAAAAAAATAAGGCACTGCATGAGCTGCTAAAGTTTATATTAATGTGGGAATATTTTAATTTTTTTTTAAAATAAAACAACTTGCTCAGACTTTACTAACCAAACTAACAAACCTACCTTTTCTGGCTGGTGAAACTTTCAGCATGATCAAGGCTCTAAATTAAGTTCAGAAAGAAGTGGAACTCCAAAAAAACGCAAAGCCCCACCTCCTCCTATCAGTCCTATGCAGGTAAAGAAAAGACCAATTCTGAGATGCTTTTAGGGGGTGAAAAGCATTTTGAATATCATGTGAATGATGTGGGCTGGATTTGCTCTGTCAGTGTTATTGTATATGCCTGTCTTACCATGAGTAGTTTTTCTGACATTAGAATGACACCATGAAAGCACATATTGGTTAGGTTAACTAAGCAAAAAAACAAATACAGCATGGTCTAAGATACAACTATACAAATTTTACTGTACAGTTGGTTCTTCCATCTAAAGTTGAATGTCTTCTGGTTTTGCTAACATCCATAAGTAAATAATTATGTATAGTTTAATTATACATGTATATGTACACACTGTTATGTACATATATACATTTGAAAGTAAAATAAATAGATTTATATAGTATCAAAAGGCAATTTAAGTTAGGTTTAATGTTAAACTGAAATGTTACCTGTATAACAGCTACACTGCATATGTAATACTGACTCAGAAAAGCACTGAATTAGATCTGTTCTTTGAAACTAACCTAGAGCTGTGACTTACGTTAGTGCAGGGAAAGGTACACTTTAATGTGTGTGTGCATACATATATATGGGCACACGTTAGAGAGGTAGTTATGTGTACGTACCTATTTATATAAAATCTTTTACAGCTTAGTGATTTGTCCTCTCCACACTCATCAACTTCAACTCCCATGACTGGAAAAGGGCAGGCTTTCTTTGCTGATCAAGTGTGCAAGGTATCAGTTTTCTGTTCTTATGAAGCTTACAGAAGGAAAGTATAGTATCTTAATAATCTATTTTGCTTAATACTCTGTTTTGCTGACTGCAGAGTCTCCTGTGAATTAATTAGCTGAGTTTTAGGAACAAAAAGGAATCCAAATCTATTTCAGTGTAATTTATAAAGAAAATGTGGATTATTTTAATGTTTACTGAATATGTAAACAGAATTGTTCATAAATCAGTTATTATTTAGGAATACAGTTATGAAAGTGTTAATGCTGTGACAGCTCATTACCTTATACCAGCAAAGTGCACGGTTTTGTGCCAGGCAAAAAGTAGAGACCCTTTCACCAAAAAAGTCAAGGAAATGGTTGTGTGTGTTCTGTCTGATCTTTACCTTACAATATTGAAGTTTCTTTTTTTTTTAATACATTACACTATATCGCTATTATTTATCAAAGGGGCTGCAGTCTTCCAATCTGTCTATGAGATAGTTGCCCATATTTCATTAACATTTAATGAGAATTTCACAATGGAACTTGAACGGCTTTAGCAGATTTTGAAATACCAGCCACATGCTACACTTAAACAAGTCCTCAGAAATAGAAGAAACTCACTTCGCCAGGCTTTATCCAGCAAGATCTATATTGTCTGTACTTCTTTTTGGTGAACTGTCCAGCTTTTCATCTGCTTTCTGTGAAAGTGGTTTTTTTTGGTGTCTC